TAATAAATTATTTATTTTAATTAATAATTTAAAAAATAATTTATTTCTATCCTTTTAATAAGGATCTGTCTCTGCTTATTTTTTGTGATGTGTACTTTGGGTTATGCCAAAAAAAATATATTAATTAATTATTATCCAATAATTATTGCTCAGAGGAGATGATAAATAAAATGTGAATTAAATAAAACCTATTTGCGGATCTTCCAAAGGATGGATGACATCTTCTTGAAGCTCGGCAACCGAAGCATCCCCTAAATCACTTTCCATGTTAGACTATTTCATAACATCGTCGGTCGGGGAGATGATAAATAAACTGTGAATTAAATAAAACCTGTCTGTGAATCTTTCGAGGGAGGGACAACAATTTCTTGAAGCTCAACAACCGAAGCATCCCCTGAATCACTTTCCATGCTTGGCTGTTCTGTAACCGTGCTGGGAGAAGCCATTTCCACCTTAGGCTGTTTCACCATACATAAAACAAATTAAAAAACTTCTAACTAAAAAATATTAAAAAAAAAACTTTGACATGTCTCTCCACAGCCGTCCTGTAGGCTCTAAGATATTGTTGTCATGATTCAATTTTCATCAAGTATTTTTTTAAGAATCTTTTCTAATGCTTTGAGTAAAATTAATTTTTTTTTATAATTTTAATTTTAAAGATTCAATGATAAAATTAAAAATTAATCATGTAAGAGAAATAAAATAAATTGGACTTGGTTGTAAAGAACTAAGACTTTGAAATTGTGAGTTACAGGACCAGATTGATGAAATAAGACGTTAAGGGACTAAGTTGATGCATGCACGGAAGAGGAGGTTCAAAGGAAAGAATCCATGAAACGACGTCGTTTTTATAGTAAAAAATCAGCAACCTATAAAAAAATGAGAGACCAGGGTTCATTAGCAGTCTTTTCCTCTGCTGCACCTGCTCTCCCAAGATTTCTTCTTCATCAACTTGAGTTGGATTAAAAGAAGAATTTAGTGAAGAGATTTTTGGATCTAGGGTCAACCAATTGAAGGAATCAGAGGAGATCCGCAAGAAAAGAAGTCCAAAATCGATTTGGAGTTAGAAGCCCTAATCCACAGAGGTATGAACTTGGCCTTTAAAGTGGAAGGATGCAGAGACTCAGTTGCATTTTAGGCTTCTTATTCTATTTGAATTGGGTTTTATCTGTATTTTGTGATTGAAGATTATGGTTTGAGATTGGCGTGAAGGGTTTGGGTTTCTATTTCTTTTTTTTTTTTTAATAAAAGAGGGCTCCGGCAAAAGAGAATGGAGAAAGGAATGAAAAATTCAGAAAAATATTGAGGGAAATATTTAGGAAAATTGATAGAGAAAGAGAGAGCAGAAGATGAATGAAGAAATTGAGTTGCACCTCACCAAAATAGGGAACCCCATCAATGAAGAAAAAGGGGTTTTCAGCTTACCAAAAGATGGAACTCTGGGTGTCTCTTCTTGTGCTGCGAGTCTCTTCTCTACCCTTTTCTTCGCAAAACAAAAACTCCAACAAAAACAACTGAAGTCTTGGGGAACAATTATTAGTAAAGTTCTAACTTAGGGATGGCAATGGTTCGCATGGGGAGGTGGGTATAGGGATGCTATGGGGATTTTTCGTGGGGTTAAAGATAGCCTCCGTTTCCATATTCGTCAGGAATAATAGCTCTGTGGGTATTTATAATCCCTATCAATTATTAAATCAATTATTAAATGTATAGAATTTAATCATTTTTTTTTATAAATAAAAAGAGTAAAAATTTAAAATAATTTAAATAAGGAAATATATTAACATATAATGTAGTAAAATAGTATCTAATAACCAATTGCAACAAATGTACATTGCCATACATGTTCAATAAATTTAGTAGCAAGTTTATATAAAAAAGCATGAATTACCATTCATGTTTAGGTTAGGTTGGGTTGGGTTGAATTATTAAATTGGGTTTGAGGAGTAAAATTGAAAAAAAAAAATTAGGCTCAGCAATTTAAGTTAAGTTGAGTTAGTTAATTAGGTTAAATGAGTAAAAATTAATTGTTAATATATTTATAATATATATTTATACATTTTTTTATTATTTATGGACTCTCAAGGATCTCCACAAAATGAAAGAAATTTCCCTATAAAATTTTATAAGAAAAAAAATACCTCCATTTCTGCTCCATTAAAAAAAAAAATAACTTCTTGAAATCTCTGTCTTAAGGCAAAATCAAAGGAAATTACCATCCCTATTCTAACCCTAGTGGCCGTTATCTCGTTGACAGGGGTGTTTGGGCAAGTAAAATTTTTCTTCATAAATTTAAAACTTTATTAAAAAGAATTTAAAAGTTAATTTTTAAAGTAAGTTGTGTAATTTTTTTTAAAAGTTATTTTAAGTTATAATTTTTTAACAAATATTAAAATTTGTGAGAAAAGTATTTAATTTTTTATTGTAAATGTTTTTAAAGTTTTATCACGCACCTTCATAATATTAATAACTTAGGTATTGAATAAGATCCTAAACTTTCACCAAATCCTTAATTGAGGTTTAAAAGGTTCATTATGCTTAAATAAGGTCATTAAGTGAAAAAATGTGTAAATAAAAATATGTAAACTTTATTTTTTTAATTTAAAAACACAAATTTTTTGAATTTTTAAATTAGACAATAAATTTTTATTTTTTTCTAAATAGA